GTGAATGTATTTACTTACCCATTGTGCTCGTGTCCTTTACGAAACACCACAGTATAAACTGTTTCAAGGACAAGAGCCACCAAAAGCACCAAAAACACGAAATAAAATCCATTACCCTTGATAAGAACAAGCCAGCAGATCATCAAAACAGCGTGAATAAGGAAGAGAAATCTTGTAAATACTGCAGCAAGATAGTGAAATATCTGTTCCATCTTTCCCAAAGTTCAAATTGTGCATAGCAACGATGCACAACACAACTAAAAAGCAGTTGAAGTTAGCGGATAAAACTGCATTAATATTTAATATATAATTGATATATCGAATTGTATCCGACTGCAGATTTTTTAGCAACTAGTAGTGTACCTTATTTTGGCAACGATCGTCGTCAACCGGCTTAATTTATTCATACATGCAACTGGAATAATATGCATTTGTAAATCATAGGAGGGGGTTGCAAACGAGGACAACAGGTAAGAAGGAATTATTGAAAAGCCTTCGGGCTCCTGTGAAAATCTAATTAAGAATTCTTTTCGAAACCAGCTGGTTTTGAAAATATCGCGTTGAAACCCATTTTAATTTTGCCATAACCTGAAATATATCCTACATAATTTTGTTAAGATATTTTGGGAATATTTTGTAGGTAAAAGCGTTGATCAAACTGGAATTTCTCAAAAGAGTTAGGAATCAGGAAACGCTTTTATTAGGAAATAATAATAATTGATAATAGCCACTAAATAACATCAAAGTGTTGGTGTAAAGTTAGGCAATGGTACAGCTCAAATCTATCTTTTTCCTGACAAATCAGAATGAAATTAAGACACGAAAATACGAGAACAAAACGACAACTTCAACATTAAATTCGTATGACATGGCAAGAGTAATGTCAACAAGATTTTCAATTCCAAACCTTTTTTATAATTTCTATACAATAAAACGGAAATTAACTTTTCTTGGACGAAAACATGTCTTTTAATGACTTCCCTTCTATGAGCGAAAAGTCTGAATAACCGACTTAGAAGTAGGGAGATGAACAAACATCTAGAAGAAAAATAAATAGGATTCTTGGATGGTACGAATAGATATGAATGGTGTGAATCCTTGGTTATGAAAATTAATTCATTAGAATAAATATTGACAATAAAGGGATAATTTTAGAGAATTAATTGATGACGTTCAAGGATTTTTGTTCAAGTACATTTTTCTGTTAAAAACAAAACACTTTTGAGAAGAAAAGGGTTCTTCCGATAGTGACAAATGTTGAGAGGGTAACGTTCCAAGGTAAAGTAATCTTGAAACATACTTTTGAGCTTTCTTTCTTTTCTTTCTTTCTTTTTTCCTTCCTTTCTTTCTCTCTTTCTTCCTTCCTTCCTTTCTTTCTTTCTCTCTCT